AATTTATAAATTATCAAGGGCTCAAGTGGGAGGGGACAGCAGGGAGGGAGGGGGGAAATGAGAACCTGATGCCGGGGGCTTAGGTGGAGAGGAAATGTTTGGAGAATGATGAGAGCAATGAATGTACAAATGTGCTTTACACAATTGATATGTGTATGGATTGTGATACGAGTTGTATGAGCCCCTAATAAAATAATTTTTTTTAATTGGTCGAAATCCAACACTTCAAAATGTAGCATATGCTTACAAATGAATGCTACTGAAGGAAGAAGACGAAACCACACTGAGGGCATTGGAGAAAAAAGCGGCTCCAGGAATTGATGAAATACCTACTAATTGAAATGTTTCAACAAATGGATGCAGCACGGAGTTACTCACTCATCTATGAAAGAGTTTTGGAAGACATATAGTTACCTGGCTAGTCACCTGAACAATAACCATATTTATGTATTTTCCAAAGAATGGTGATACAACAAAATAAGGAAATTATCAGACGATCAAGTAAAACTTTGTAAAGATAAGTATAAAAGAGTTGTAGCAGTATTATCAACAGAGAACAATTCGAAATCTAAGCTGAATTCATAAGCTGTGGAATGAGGACACTCATGGTTAATGCGAGATGGGTCTTGACTGAAAACAGTACTAGAGAGCTGTTTACCTTGTTTTACTGATTATGCAAAGACTGTGGGTCACAAAATTTATGGATAACGTTGTGAAGAATGGAAATTACAGAACATTCCGTTGTCCTCAGGCATAATCTGTAAATAGACCTAAAGGCAGTCATTTGAGGGGAAAAAAACAAGCAAGGACTACTGTGTGGGTTAAAAAAGCAGGAAATGTGCTGTATTCCTTCAGCACACTTATTCAATCTGCATGCTGAGCAAAAACTCTGAGAAATCAGATGCTATGAAGCACATGGCATCAGTGTTGGAGGAAGACTCACTAACAACCTGCAATATGCAGGTAACAGATCCTCGCTTGCTGACATTGAGTAGGATTTGAGGCATTTACTGATGAAGATCAAAGACTACAACCAACCTTCAGGATGGATTACACTTTAGCATAAAGAAAGCAAAAATCTTCACAACTCGACCAAGTGTCAACATCATTATAAACAGGGAAAAGAATAACATTGTCAAGGATTTTGTTTTACTTGGATCCACATCAACACCCATGCAAGCAGTAGTCAATAAATCAAACGACATATTGCATTGAACAAATCTGCTGTAAAAGACATTTTAAAGATGTTAAAAAAGCAAATATGTCACTTTGAGCATGAAGGTGCACCTGACACAAGCCATGGTAATTTTAATCTCACATGCATGTGAAAGCTGCAGAATGGATAGTGAAGACCACAGCAAGCTAATGCAGTTGAATTATGGTCCTGGCAAAGAATATAGAATATGCCATGGACTTCCAGAAGATCAAACAAATCTGACTTAAAGGAAATACAACCAGGATTCTCCTTAGAAGCAAAGATAGCAAGATTTCAGCTCATGTACTATGGATATGTTATCAAGAAAGTCCTGGAGAAGGACATCATGCTTGGTAAAGTAGATGATCAGCAAAGAAGAGGAAGCCCACAATGTGACGAATTGATTGTGACTGAAACAATGGGATCACACATAATAATTCTGAAGATGCAGCAGGGCTAGGCAGTGTTTCATCATGATGCATGTAGGCTTGCTGCAAGTCAGAACCAACTCAGGAGCAACACACACACACACACAGAGTAAGTGCTATACTATACAATTGTATAACAACAATAATAAAAAGCAAAAGATGAGTGAGTGGTCACATAGGTAGATATGTATGGTAATTGGGTATGGGAAGGCTTATTGGAGTGCAAGCACATGCATTTAGATGTATATTTGTGATAATATATATCATGCTGGTTGCAATTCATACATGTATACAATAAAGCACAGAGAACACAATTATGAAGTCTACCTACACATGTCCAAATACCTCATGGTGTTGATTTATGGAGTTCAAAAGCTAAGACTCATGGGACAACTAAGTTAATTGGCATAACTTCATTCATAAAGATAATGCTTTACATCCTACCTTGGTGAGTAGTGTCTTGGGTCTTAACAGTTTTGAAGGGGCCATCTGAGATACAAATGCGGATTTCTTTATCTGGAGCAAAGGAGAGTGGAGGAAACCAAAACACAAGACTTTCTAGCCTGAGAACAGAACAACAAAGTGGTGGTCACCTGCCACTTAGGGCCGTTCTGACCAGGGATGTAACAGAAGGTCAAGTAAGAATGGGAGAAAAATGTAGAATAAGACTCAAATTTATAAAAGAAATAGAGACGAAAGGAACTTTTACTGCTATCAAATTAAAGGGGTGTCTTAGGGCGACGGTCCTTGGGGTTCCTCTAGTTCCTAGATACCCTCTTTAACCTGGAACTGAAGCCACTCCTAGAAGGTACCTTTCAGGCAAATAATAGATTGGCCTATAAAATAAGCAACAATACCTGTGAGCTCTGTGTTCCTCTAAACAAGCAACTATGCAAGACCAAATAGTAAACACAAAAGCAAAGACGAGATGACAAAGACGGAACTGATTGAAATGGGGCAGGGAGTGGAATAGTAAAAGTGCTAACGCATTATTGGGATTGTAACCAATGTCACAGAATAATCTGTGTATGAATTGCTAAATGAGAAAATAATTTGTCATGTAAATTATCACCTAAAAATATTTTTTTAATGAAGACCTTCCTAAGAGGATGGTGTTTTGGTGGCAAGTCTCAGACAAGTAGATGCTTTATGGAGATGATTGGGGGGAACAGAATTTTCTGCATCCCTCAGGCTACTCCCTGTACCTTCTCTTCCATTTCCTAAATTCAAGTGTAGAAATCCAGCACAACTTAGGCAATATCCAGAAGGCTTGGGCCTTTGTGATCCATTTGGCAGCAGAGAAAGTCCTAAGATCCACTTGGTCACTGTGTTAGACAGGGTTCTCTAGAGAAACAAAACCAGAATGCTAATAATTTTATATATATTTATACAGATAGATATATAGCATAAGAAATAAACAGTTAATTAAATTATAAAGCAGTACAAATGGCTCAATGCAACTCCCTCCCATGAGACACTTGTGAGACACTGGCAGTCCTTCAAGTCTTGAGGGCCGCTGGGTAGTCCTCTGTAGAGCAATTCAGGCTATCCAGGCACAGGCAGCAAACAGCAAGGCAGGTCACCAACAGTCAGCCAGATGACAGGGTCCAACAGTCCCCAGCTCAAGAGATGTAAATTCCAATGGTGTGGCGAAGCAGGTCTTGAAGGAACCTCAAATGACAGCGACACAGTCCATGGGTTAGGTGTCCCACAGGTAGTGTAGCTTGCAAAGAACAAGCAAGGCAGCCGCACACTGGTCCGATGATCAAAGACCAAGAGTCAAGAAAGGCGAGGCTCGCCGAGCCATTTATGTCTGCGCCCTTCAATTATTCCCTCATATGTTTATCGGCCAGGTTGGCACAATAAACTACTTCAGTCACAAGACTACCAATTTAATTTGCTTGCTTGAAGATTGTTTGTCCTTGTTTGAGGTGAGAGGTTTTACACATTAGCTTCTTTCCAAGTGGGGGATCTACTTAAGTGACTCCCCAGGAAAGGATGACCATTGTGTAGGGGAAGGTGGGGAAATGCTGATCCTTGGAAGTGGCCTCCCTTCTCTCCTATCACAGGCCGTTTGGCAATGGTTTAGAAAGAATTCCCACCAGGCTGGAAAGTGGGACCCTCACATGGAAGGTGGCTGAGTACTAATGATGGATTTGATATGGAAAAAGACGTAGGAGATCTGAGGTGTAGAAGGTCATTCTGGACACCAGAGGCTGATTGGAGGCAGAAGAACGTTGAGAGAGCACGAATCAGAGTGTGGTTGCAGCAGCTAAGGGAGAGAGGGGAGCCCATTCACCAAGAAGTCTTTGCTTTAACTGGTGTTCAGACTGTCCTTGAGGGGGCCTCTGCCCTCCAACCTGTCTACAAATCTCTCTTCCTTTGTCTTTTCAGAAAAGCAAACCAAAGGCTGAGTTTGTCAGCCCTAAAGCAACTGGGACAACAAAAAGAAAATCAAAAGGCATCCTGAAAAAGCCAGGCAGGAACCTCCAGGTGTGTTTCCCGTGCCCACTCTTCACCCACTTGTTATTCGTTCTGGAGCAGACCCTCCCTCCAACTCCCATTTAAGTTTTCCATGTTTAGAAAATGTACTGCTCTTGTCTTCACAGTATCTGGGCACTTTATTATGTATGTTTGATAAGTACATATATAACAAAATACTTGCTGTTTCAATAATCTTCACATGTACATACAGTAGTGTTCAAGAGGAGCCTTGGCAGTGCCACGTGCCTAAGAACTTGGCTGCTAGCTGAAAGGTTCATAATTCAAAGCCATCTGCTGCTCCGCAGGAGGAAGAAGCCATGGCAGACTACATCTGTAAAGACTGCAGCCTTGGGAATCCTCTAGGGAAGTTCTAGGAGTTGGAATCAACTCAGCGGCAGTGGATTTTTTTAAAGGTTCAATCATCACCATGAACTGTTCCTGAATTTTCCCATCACTCTTAACAGAAGTTTTGTGTCCCCTAGATATATGTCTCCATTTCTCCCCTCCCTCCTTTGACCACCCATATCAGGTTTGCACCCTGGAGCAATTGAGCTCAATTAATAACCACACTAAGTGGAACACAGAAAAACAAAAGCTGTTCATTAGGAAGCCAGGCTAATGAAGCATGTATCAGCAACATGCTTATTTGTGTATGTATCAGTGAATGCTTATTTCAGTTTACAAGTAATGTTTATATTATTTTTCTAACAATACCAGTTATACACTACATGTAGGTGGTATCTAGATTTTAGGTACATGACAGTCTGCAAAAATATCATAGGACATGATTAACATAATTTTATAATTCATCATCTTAAATCTAATTATATAATTAATCATCTTGATGTCTACTACAACAATGACTACTTCTTATAAGACTTTATAAGATAACCATGGAAATAGGAAGGTTAAGTTAACTTCAAATAATATCTGAATGGTAATTAACATTCTAAATTCCTTTTCAAGAACCAATGTGCTGAAGGAAGAAGTCCAAATTGCACAGACGATTTTAATGAAAAGCAAGTCCCCAGGAATTGATGGATGACCAATTGAAATGTTTCAGTTTGCTAATGCAGCACTGGAAGCACACTCACTTATTTGTGCCAATAAATTTGGAAGATAGCTGCCTGGCCAACTAACTGGAAGAGATCCATCCATATTTTTACTCATTCCAAAGAAAGGTGACCGAAAAGCAGTACACAAAAATGAGCTCCCAGAAGTTCAAGCTAGATTCAGAAGAGAACGTGGTGTTCCTTATGTCAGATGGATCTTTGCTGAAAGCAAGGAATACCAGGAAGATCTTTACTTTTGTTTTGGTTTTTTGTACGTTATTTTTTGCAGTCTTTATTTTTTTCATAAGTTTTATTGGCACTTTGTCCACATATCATACAATTCAATAGTTAAGCCATATCAAGGAGAGTTGTACAATCTTTACCATAATCAATTGTAGAATATTTTATTTTTTCCAGTACAAGTTGCTATTCATGTCATTTTAAGATTTTGGCAAAAATATACACAACAAAACATTCATTTCAACAACTTCTACATGTATAATTCAAGGCCATCGATAACACTCTTTGTGTTGTACAACCATTATTGTTCTTTCTCTCCAAATTGTTCCACCGTCATTAAAATGAACCCAGTGTCCCCTAAGCAAAACCTTTTCCTCCTCCACCCATGGTAACCAGAGGTTAAGTTTGGTTTCTTTCTTCCTTTTTTTTTTTTAATTCTTTTTATGTATTTATTTATGTTAATAAATCATTTTTTAAACATTTTATTAGGGGCTCATACAACTCTTATCACAATCCATACTTTTGTTTTATTGACTATACTAAGCATTCAACTGTGTGGATTCTAACAAACTGTATTAAAAAGAATGGGAATTGCAGAACACTTGATTGTGTCCATGCAGATCCTGCACATAGACCAAGAGACAGTACCATGAATAGAACAAGGGAATACTACATGGTTTAAATTTTGGAAAGACGTCAGTGTTGTATCATTTCACCATACTTATTCAGTCTTTATGCTGAGCAAATAATCTAAGAAGCTGAACTATATAAATAAGTACATCGTATTAGATATGGAGGAAAACCTATTAATAATCGGCAATATGCAGATGACACTACCTTGCGGAAAGCCAGGAGGACTTAAAATACTTGCTGATGAAAATCGAAGACTACAGCCTTCAGTGTGGACTGCAACTCAATGCACAGAAAGCAAAAGTCCTCCCAGCTCGATAGAGATCATGATGTTGTAACCGTGTCGTCCAGTCAGGTCTGACCGATAGTGACCCTGTGCACAACAGAACAAAACACTGCCTGGTCCTGCACCAGCCTCACAATTGCTCCTCTGCTTGAGCACATAGTTGCAGCCATTCTATCAACTGGTCTCTTGGAGGGCCTTCCTCTTTGTGTTGCCCCGATACGTTACCAAGCATGATGTCCTTTTCCAGGGACTGTCTCTCCTGACAACACGTCCAAAATATGTAAGATGAATTCTCGCCATCTTTGGTGACAAGAGCACTGTGGTTGTACTTCTTCCAAGATAGATTTGTTTGTCCTTGTGGCAGTTCATAGCACAGTCAATAGTCTTCTCCAGGACCACCATTCAAATGCATCAATTCTTCGTCAGTCTTCTTTACTCAGTGCCCCACTTTCACATACCTATGAGGCCATTGAAATTACCAGGAGTGGGGTCAGGTGCATTGTTGGTCCTTAAAGTAACGTCCCACCTTTTCAGCACACTAAAGAGGTCGTGTGCAGCAGATTTGGCAATGCAACACATCTTTTCATCATCTGACTGCTGCTTGGGAATTGGAGCATTGATTGTGTATCCAAGCAAGATGAAAAGTTTTGCAGAATAATTATATAGAACATATGGAGTTCCCGTGTACATCCATTCCCCATACACATACTTTCTTTTTTCTTTTTTTTTTCTATTAACATGTCACATTGCTTTTGTCCATTTTCTACCATTGATGCACCCATATTGATACTTTATAATTAATTATTAACTAAAGCCCTTAGTTAACATTAGGATTCACTCTGTATAGTATAGTTCTTTTTTTTTTTTCGATTTTTTTTTTAATTTAAAGGTCTCAATTCCACTTCTGTCTCACACTACCCCTCAAATGAATCACATCATTCTAGCACCCAGAAAACTTCCCCAGCCCAGTGAGAACTGCATCCCTGGGGGAATTTTGTGCTTCACAAATTCTCTGTCTCATCTTCTCACCTCTCTTCCAGCAAAACTCTCAGGAATGCCATTTCACAGACAAGAAAACCACTCCCAGTGAGCTGCTTCCTAGTCACACAGCTAACAGGGGTAACTCTGAACCTGACTCTGAGGGCGTGTGTTCCCATGAGCGCTCCTCCTGAGAGATGGAGAGAAATCAAAGTGAAGAGCGAGCACCACAGTGCAGACTCTGCTCACTCCTGGTGGGAGTATCTCCTTTGCCTGCCCCTTCAGCAAACCCTTGAAATAGCTCAGTCTAGGAGTCGTGGAGGAGATCCTGGATGGTGCAGTTAACCCATTCAGCTGCTCACCTAAAGGCTTCAGGTTCAAGGCTACCCAGAGGTTCCTCAGAAAAAAAATCTGGTGGTTTGCTTTCAAAAATTCAGCCTTTGAAAACCCTATGAATCTGAGTCATCTCCATGGTAACGAGTTGCTTAAAGGTGGGAGAAACCAAACCAGATCCACCTCTGCAGGTCATATTTTCTCTCAGCTCTCCCCCAAGGTCTCACAGAAAAGCCCCAGGAAAGAAGATGCTGTCATGTACCGAAGACTCTATGGAATGGAGCAAAAAGGAAAACGCCTCAGTATGGTTCCAGGCAGCTACGTCAAGGCCTCCCCCAAGAAATCTGGTAAGGGAAATGCCTACGCCCCCACCCCCACCCCGACACCAGGATCACCCTCCAGAGCAGCCTTCCTATTGGAACAAAGTCCACTAGCTCCTAGGGAAGCAGCAGCACATTACTCAGTCATGGGCACTGGAATCAAATTCCCGCTTGTGGTGGGTGGCTTTTTAGGAATCACACCAGGAGATGATGGGTGCACTTGGACTGCCTGCCAAGATTTAACTAACACCTGGGGCCAGCATGAGTTGTTCCTGCTCCTGAAACCATTCCGGGTCGCATTCTGAATTCTCTGAATTATTCTAATTAATTTGATCTGTGACTAAATCAATTACAGTAGGTCATTGAGCCTATTAGACTGAAGTCGGTCAAAGATTGCTCATATATAGGAAAGAACAGGCTTAGGTTGTGCCAAATCCCAGGTTCCTAAAGCTCCCAGGTCTAAATGCTGCCTTGTCCACTCTGTAACAATGTAGGATAACCCTAGACTCTGGAGCTCAGTTTTCTCATCTCTAAAATGGGGCAGTGACATCCTCTGCTTCACAGAGTAGTAGGGAGGACTTTAGAGATAGAGCACGTGAAAGACTTAACACAGTGCCTGACACACAGTAGGTGGTCCACTAATACTAAAAAGTGGCTACTTACAGTCAACTCTTTGCGAACACCCTCTGCTGGGCTGTCCCATGATGTTCGAAAATCAGATACACAATTATTATTGTGCCTAGCCTTTTGCAGGATTTTTGCTGATGTTAGGGGCTGTTGAAGCCATTCCAACTCATAGTGACCCCAGGTACAACACAAGGAAACACTCAACAGTCCTGCACCCCCCCC